CGGTGAATGTTATAAAAGAAACGTGCTGCTTACGTGTCCTAACACTCATGGGACCACATACATCAGTATGTATAAGGTCAAGCGTGCCTGTACATCTTTCAGGCTTACCATTAAATGGTCGTTTCGTCATCTTACCCTGAAGGCAAGGTTCACAGGTTGTAAGATCTTCTACAGTTAGAAAATCCAAAGGACCATCCTTTACCAACCTTGTGATACGATCTTTGTTGATATGGCCAAGTCGGTAATGTCACAGACACGTCGGATTAACTGTATCACGAATTCTTTTCTTGGGGATGTCACCCGACGTAGTTTCGATAATGTTAGTTTCCAGAGAAGGATGGAGAACATAGAGACCATTCTCAAGTTCTCCGTATGCGAGGATTTTGTTATTTCTTTTGATAGTAATCGTATTACTAAAGATAACAGAATATCCATCCGCACAGTTTTGAAACAAAAATCAAATTTCTTCTCAAATTCTGTACATAAAGACAATCTTTCAGTACAATAATTCCTTCTCTGAAAATTAACTCTACAGTTCCTATAGTTGTAGCTGCAACACTTGTAGAAGTCCCCAAGTAAAGAGTCACCTCTCCGTCACTCAGTCTTCTACTTGTCCTGAACCCCTGCAATGAGTTACACGCATGAGTTGAAGCCCCGGAGTCAATACACCAAAAAGCAGAACTTACAAACAAATTGGTTTCTATGACAAAGGATTCGAAATTACCTTATTTGTTGGATTCCAGGTACTGAGGACAGTTCTTCTTCTAGTGGTCGGCTTGTTTGTAGAAGTGACAAGCATTCGATGCTTTGTCTTTCCTCTGTCTTTTGGACTTAGCAGCTTTCTTCTGAGGCTTTCTCTTTGCCTTCCTCTTCTTCTTGCCCGATTTGCCGCTTCAACAAGAATGGCAATGGGCTCATCCTTCTTGATCGGTTCCTCGGCCCTCTGCAACATATTCTTGAGTTCCTGGATGCTAACATTTAGCTTATTCATGTTGTAGTTTCAGATTTGGCCAATTTCGGTTCAAGATTTGAACTGGCTCTGATACCACTGAAGGGATGAGAGATCCATCATATGGATGGTCGAACCTTGCAGGTAGGTTGGGCGAAATTTCAAAAATTTCTCTCTCCCATATGGGAATCACATTCCCTATTTTAGAAAACTGCATTTTCAAGGATCAATCTTGAACCTAAACCAAACCAGATCTGAAAACCAAAAGGTAGGAGAGGGATATACTTGATACGGAGTAGTATTAACCCCCAACGAATATGGAGTAGTAGAGATTACCAAAGACTACTCCCACTGAAGATGACACAGCGTAGGGTGGAGCAGAATCAGCAGGATGGCTCTTCAGCAAGAACCTGATTCTTTACCAAGAATCTGATGGAGAGCGAGTGAGCACGACTTCATATCAACTTTTCTGCCAAAAGGTGATATCAAGAACCCTTTCTCGATCACTTCTACAAGTGGAGATCGAACTTGTAATGGCGGCAATAGCAGGAGAAGGCAAGAGCAGAAGATGTCGTCAGTCCAACTGTATGCTATCTTCTCTCTTGTATCAGCAAAACTGAAGGATGAACTGGAGGTTCGCCCTGCTCCTCTATTTATAGCCTTAAAAAGAGGTTCTCCTAATCCCATTAGGAGTTTSCTAATCCAAATCTTGTATTTGGATCTGGACTCTCTTTAAGAGATAAGGATAATCCCTTATCTTATCTGCAGATAAAGATCAGCCTTCCTAATCCAATTAGG